ACTGGGTCAAAATTTTCAAAGGGAATTTTTGTATAAAACCCAAAAATCTATGTACCAAAAATGGTAATTTACAACCATACTGATCTTTAAAAATAAAAAATTCTAATCCCTCCCCAAAAAATACTACCCTTTTTTTCAAATTTTGTGGCTGCTCTACCTTGAGCTATCAGACACATTTACTTGATTATAAATATAACCATGGTCATATAATTATTAGGGAGTCGCCGTGGTGTAGATGCACACCTGCACATCTTAAGGTAGTGGGTTCGAATCCAAATGGAATCTACTTTTTTCTCAAAAATGACCATGGCTCCCCGGTCAAACCAGCCTTGACTGCGTCACAGGTGAAGTCCTGGGAAGTAAAGGCGTCCAGTGTGGTGTTAATCCCATCACCCACCGAGTGCCGATTGGTCTATAAAATATAGTTCTAGCCCAATATGCCTAAATGCATGGAAAAGAATCCTTCCCATAATTATTAATATAACACAGCATTGCACAGATTTTTTTTTGAAAAAAAAATAAAAATAATATTTATGAATAAAACAATTATTTTCCTGTAAAAAGTAAAGTAAAAGACCCTTTTCCTTGCCTATTTCTACATATCTTTTCTAACAGTTATGTATAACGTGTGATAGCATGGATATTATTTAGGTTAAATGTTATAATTCTAATATTTTAAGTTTAATATCATTAGATACAGTCGAGTCTGGATAAGTAGAAGTCATAGGAACCTAAGAAAATGCTTCCACTTATCAGGATTTCTACTTATCCAGACAGCACAGACAATAGAGAACATTGTCGGGACTAAGCTGGTCATGTCGACTTCACCGGAATTTGACTTAACCGAGTTTGACTTAAGTGGACTCGGCTATATATGCATTTCGTAATTTTAAAAAACCTGTTTAATTTTACAAAGTTGTAATTTAAACAAAAATATCATGTTCAATCCATCTGGGTTATAACTGGAATATACAGAGGTTTTACTATTTCAATACTGGATATTTATGCCTATCTATTTTCAAAAAAAAAATTACTCAAAAAAGAAAAGACATGTTAAATAAATGTAATGTTTCAATCTACTAGTGAACCTATATCAAACAACACATTATAAACTGAAGGCTAATAAACAGAGTAACACAAATCTAAATTGAGAGAAAAGTGGAGAAGAAAGAGAAGAAATCTCAACCTACCAAACAAAATTTAGCATGATACTATCTTTTAACATTAGGTACAGATTAGACTACTCCATGTGAGTTCAGGGGCTTCTTTTTTTTAAGAACAAAGAACAGAAAGGAACAGACACATTGCCCCTGAACAAGCATGTCATTGGTGGCAACCAAAAAGGGATGTTTTTCTTCAAAATCAGAATTTATCTGCCTGAGAGGCGAGGAACCCGCAGTGTGGGCACAAATAGGCCAGATCTGTAAAACAGAGGCGAATGCAAAACTCAAGTTCTGTAACAAGACAAGGCTGGAAGAGGATGAACAACCAGTGTTTACAGCTGGTCAACGCAAAGAAGATGAAGATTATGCTATAAAAATATGGGGTTAGTACCACATACCCAAAAGTTCTCAATGAGGGATGAGAATTCTTTCTATCATTAAAAACAAAATAATAAATTAAAAAAAAGTAACAAAGCAGTATAAATCTTAGACTATTGTATGACTACATACTTATATTAGAAAAGACAACAATACAATGCCATCAATCTGTTAACTTGTCTATTAGTGTAATAACTTGACTGTATCTGCCCTCAGCAACATACCGTGTGTGATCAGCTAGCTATTCATTGATAACTGGGCTAAACTCACTAACAAAATCTGGCTTGATATTTGAAAACAGTAAATGAAACAGTATCTATACTAAATGCCTGTAGTGACTGTTAATGTTGGCACTTCTAAAATTGCCTTATGCATTCACTGTATGTGTGTATGTTTCTGGATTTTGCCGGGACTAAATGCCTGTTCACTAGTTTTCAAATGGGACATTGAAAGGCATTTTGTGTGATTTGAGCTGGCACTGGAGTGCAGCAATTATTTATTGACTGACCTGTCTGCAGTAAACCTAGAACTATGACTATAAAAACTATGTGTATGTGTGTATATACACATATATTTATATATATATATTTCTATAGAAAGATTCTCAGAATATCTTGGACAGAGAAGAGGAGAAATACTGACATGTGGAAAAGTTCTGAACATCAAGGAAGACTGCCTAATAAACAGCATCCTGTCTCGGAAGTTGAAATATTTTGGTCATATCAAGCGCCACGACGGATTGGAAAAAATTATAGCAGAAGGCATGGTGCCAGGAAGGAAGGGCAGGGGAACACGAAGATGGGCACAGGATATAAGTGACTCCTTGAGTGTGAAAGCACATAAGGTGGGAGAGCTGGCAAAAGACTGAGTTTCTTTCAGGCAGACTGTGATGACAGCGACGTTCTGCAAAGGACCTGCTACATGATGATGATATATATTGTCAGTGTGATCTTCTGCTGTGAAATCTTCCGGGACTGAAACAGCTGAATGCCCCCAATTCTATCAGACTGTTTTAAAACTGTTACTTATAATATATCTTATAATTTAACGTAGCATAAAGCTAACAATGTCAATGCTACACATTTATACATTAGGAAAATTTCATAAATTCCCATGATATCAAACTTATAAACTGGTGTTTATAAATATATATATATATATATATATACATATACACACACACACACACACGCACGCATACACAAAAAGCAGTATAAAGGAAAAAAGCAGTATAACTAACAAGGTTAGTAAAATGTACTAATTTCTATAAAAATAAGAATATATTTTCCCAGCCTGTCAATAAAATTAGGTAGATAGGCTAGCACAGGTTTCTACTGTCTGTTCCTTACCTTTGCTTGTTGCCGAGGCTTCAGCTGCGACAATTTCTTGGCTGCAGCCTCAATGGAGCTGGCGGCTGTCAACAGTTCATTTTCGGCGACAACAGTGGGGTCATCAGGGTCAACCCAGTCAGTTCCTGGTTTGAAGAAAGGCGAAAAGAAAAAAGAAAAAAATGCATTTATTGTGTAAAATGGAAGATGTCAATGTAGGAACATCAACAAAAGGTAAAACATGATACAAATGGGGAAAATAACATACAAATATTAATGAAAGAATTATACTGCGTGAACAACCAAAGTAGACAGAATGTGTAGGGGATTCACTGTAGCTACTCTTTTCTGTGGAGATGGCACCTCACTAATGAATTGTAAAAGCTATGATTGAAGAAGCCTGTTAAAAAAAAAACTATCAAAAATTAAAAAAAAAACTATCCAAAGTGGAAGACAGCACTTGGAAAATTATCAAGTAAAAATATAGCATCAATTACCCCAAATATGGCATCAGACAGCATCAATTAACTACAAATTACCCCAAATATAGCATCAAATTACCCCAAATATAGCATCAAATTACCCCAAATATAGCATCAAATTACCCCAAATATAGCATCAAATTACCCCAAATATAGCATCAAATTACCCCAAATATAGCATCAAATTACCCCAAATATAGCATCAAATTACCTAATCATTTGAAGATTAACAGTTATGGAATAATACATACATAAATTCACAAAAAAGGCAATTATGGATCCTACTGGAGAAAACCTTGGCTCCCAGGTCGACCCAGCCTTGAGTGGGTACCGGGTGCAGTCCCAGGAAGTAAAGGCGGCAGGCATGATGCTGACCACATCACCCATCTTATGCCGATTGGTCTATAAAAATATAGGTCTAGCCCTATATGCCCTATACGCCTAAAGGCGTGGAAAAGGGTCCTTTATTTACTCGAGAAATATTGCACTCGTTATCAACATTAATAATTTCTCAACTATCGCAACAAGAACATTAAAATCCTTTAAATAATCAATACAAAACAAATCTATCAGTGAAGAGAATATTTGTAATAAGAAATGTATATTCATAGATTAAGTACTTGCAGCCGGAAAAGTCTCTTCTTAATATCTTAAATTACATCCAGCAAATGAAACAATGTGTATGTGTGTGTGTATTTGTGTTAGTGTGTGTGAGTATTAGTGTGTGAGTGAGTGTGTATATAAAAAGAGATAGAGACATACACACAAATCTGTTTAAAAAAAAAGTCTAACTGGTTCATAAATTCAGAAAAGATTACATTTAACAACTTCGGAGACACAAATTAGCTAAATAGTTACAATCAACTAGAAAGATGTATCCTCAAATTAATTAAGCACTTGAATATCTGGAATAAAATCCAGTAAAGAATAAAATTTGACCTTATATATATATATATATATATATATATATATATATATATATATATATATACATATATATATATATATATATTATATATATATATATATATATATATATATATATATATATATAATATATATTATATATCGGTAAAATAAATTTTTTTATTTGTAAATTCAGTAAAAATAACATAAAATGTAACTATATCTGACCAAAAATATGCTAAATACACCCCCCCCCCCCCCCCCCCCCCCCCCCCCCCCAAAAAAAAAATTAAGGATTATACTAAACGTTATGTGATATGACACATTAATTCAATAAATATTTTAAGAAGTTATAAAAATTGAAAAGATACTATTAAAATTGAGTAACCCAAGTGTAGAATTCCTTTTCAAAAATATAAACGCAACACAGGCATGCAAGAACCGTTTAAAAAAAAAGAAGGAAGAGAAAAAAGACGAAAATAAGTGCGTGATTATTCTGTGACATGCCACATGCAACAAGTGAAATGACTGACAACATGCACAGAAAGAAAAGGCAAACATAAAGAAACTCAGGCACAAAGGAATGATTCTGGTTGCATCAAACCATCCACTAATGACAAACTACTAACAATCGAATGCACATGCAGTAATAAATGAAAGTCCAAAAGTCTTTCACATAGCAGCTAACCGACAACAACATGCACTGACAAAAATATACAGAGAACCCTTGAGGCCACAAAAACTATATATATATATATATATAATGCACATGTATTGATCGGCGCTCACAGAAAGAAACAGAAAGTAGAAGGACACACTAGACAGCACAAAATTCAAAAGTTATAGCTGCCATGCCGGAAACTGAATCTGTCACCTCCAAATGACAACAGCACCTGGCTGCAGGAATGTGTACTAAGCCACATGACTAAACAGACACTCACATTTTTCTATGAGTGCCAATCAATACATGTCTATTTTATTATTATATGCACTCACAAGAGAACAAGCTTGTATCTAACTAACTACAGCAACATGCACAAACATAGTAAAATCTCAGGGATAGATCATAAATGTATCAAACAAAACTGTGACGTACTATTTCGGATGTGTTGTATATCAAAACAGGAAAAGTTGTATATTTGTGATTGTAATGTGTAAGACAGGATTGTGATGGATTGTTGCAGGTTGGTTATCCTGCACAGTAGTTTATGTAAATATATATCAAGACAGGATTATGAATGTAATCAATTATGGCAGAATTTTGATGTAGTTTTGCTGGATTATTCCATGACTCTATATGAAAAGTGAAATATACTGAGACAGGACAGGGACTGCAAAACTTACCAAGGTGTGACTGTGAAGAATTAAAGGAGGACTGTAATGCAGCAAGCATGACTGATTTATGACAGGATTGTGACACACAATGTATTCAAGCGTGACTGATTTATGGCAAGATTGTGACACAAAATGTATTCAAGCATGAATGATTTATGACAGGATTGTGACACACAATGTATTCAAGCATGACTGATTTATGGCAGGATTGTGACACACAATGTATTCAAGCAAGACTGATTTATGGCAGGATTGTGACACACAATGTATTCAAGCAATACTGATTTATGGCAGGATTGTTACACACAATATGGGCAGCATTGTCATTTGAGGTCCAATAATCCCCAGAGAGTTATTCTGTAGCAGATCCTTTTGCAGAACTGTCCTCCCATTATGGCCACTGCAAAGACATTCTTCAGCATTGGAATATCAAGGGGAACTGGATCACAGACAGTACAGCTTTTCTGGAACCTAAAATACACTGGCTTTTTATGTTGGTACCTTTCCAGATGATAGTGTTATACTGCGCTATGAGGAAGCATGTGAATCAATGCCTATGGTACCTTTCCAGATGATAGTGTTATACTGCGCTGTGAGGAAGCATGTGAATCAATGCCTATGGGGACGGCAGGTGTGACCAGCAAGACCCGTCCACGTTAGGAAAAGTATTTCACAATGCAATTTCAGGACAGTTATTGCCTTATGATGTATTTAGTGTACTTCTTCAGCTCTGTATCTTTCTGCGGATCATTTTTTCTGTTACTTCCATTCCCTTCCTGATTTTCTCCTCCTCTATACAACACAGTAGTTCCTCCTCTATACAACACAGTAGTTCCTCCTCTATACAACACAGTAGTTCCTCCTCTATACAACACAGTAGTTCCTCCTCTATACAACACAGTAGTTCTTCCTCTATACAACACAAGGGTTCCTCCTCTATACAACACAGTAGTTCCTCCTCTATACAACACAGTAGTTCCTCCTCTATACAACACAGTAGTTCCTCCTCTATACAACACAGTAGTTCTTCCTCTATACAATACAAGGGTTCCTCCTCTATACAACACAGTAGTTCCTCCTCTATAAAACACAGTAGTTCCTCCTCTATACAACACAGTAGTTCCTCCTCTATACAACACAGTAGTTCCTCCTCTATACAACACAGTAGTTCCTCCTCTATACAACACAGTAGTCCTCCTCTATACAACACAGTAGTCCTCCTCTATACAACACAGTAGTTCCTCCTCTATACAACACAGTAGTTTCCTCCTCTATACAACACAGTAGTTCCTCCTCTATACAACACAGTAGTTCCTCCTCTATACAACACAGTAGTTCTTCCTCTATACAACACAAGGGTTCCTCCTCTATACAACACAGTAGTTCCTCCTCTATAAAACACAGTAGTTCCTCCTCTATACAACACAGTAGTTCCTCCTCTATACAACACAGTAGTTCCTCCTCTATACAACACAGTAGTTCCTCCTCTATACAACACAGTAGTTCCTCCTCTATACAACACAGTAGTCCTCCTCTATACAACACAGTAGTTCCTCCTCTATACAACACAGTAGTTCCTCCTCTATACAACACAGTAGTTCCTCCTCTATACAACACAGTAGTCCTCCTCTCCATAGCACAAAATCTTGGCATTATAGCATTATGAGAGCTACGTTCTGAAAAGCACCTGTTCTATTACATGATGCAGATCCATGCTAATGAGAATTTTCTCGAACATTTAAGTTCAAACTTCTGGGTTCACTTGACAAAGAACTGGAATCAGGGAGTGAATTTACATGGGTGTGAAACGCATAAAATGTGAGCTTAGTTAGAACATGAATGAGAACAGCAACATTGGAATATAACCTGGTGCTCGTAGTAAATGTTTTGGAAACAAAATAAAAATCACATAAGAAAGAGTTAGGTCAAAGCGTTAGTTAAAACTAAGCGATTTATAACAACAGAGTTAAACATAACAATGATCAATCTACGGCAGATGGGATGAGACACCAAGGTTACACACCTACAATTACTAAAGTGGCAGGACCTTCAACAGCACAGAGAAGTTAGCTACAATCATGATTATTCAATCACAAACATTTATGTCATTTGCAGGTAGCTAGAATTATTTCAACAGCTCAAGCAAAGGCAGCTTTTTACAAAATCAAGAATATTATATGCAATCTTTCTTTGTCAACTGAGGTGAGAAAGAGAATGTTCAAGAGCTATTTAAATCTTATCCTGATATACGACAGTGAATCAGGGACAGCTGGTTTTTTGTGAAGCACTATGTGAAAGCGGCAGAGATGTGCTTTTATAGACAAATGATAAGAATACTCTGGAGATATAAAGAGAGTAATGAAGATGTCTTGAAAGAAATAGACTGAAGGTAACTAACTACACAATCAGTTAGTGTAAAATTTTTGGTTTGTCCTGAGAAAGATAAAACTGGAATACATTGTGATGGTGGGAAAGTTGCAGGAAAAAAAGAAGCTGAGAGAGACAGAGAGAGAAGATGCTGAACAGTCTGACATCGTGCCATTGAAGATCACCTGTGTCAGAAGTGACTGCAAGTACAAGAGACAGAGGGTTGTGGACAGATATACCAATGCCACATGGCATGGGAGATCATCTGTGTCAGAAGTGACTGCAAGTACAAGAGACAGAGGGTTGTGGACAGATATACCAATGCCACATGGCATGGGAGATCATCTGTGTCAGAAGTGACTGCAAGTACAAGAGACAGAGAGTTGTGGACAGATATACCAATGCCACATGGCATAAACTAAAAGAAGAAGAGTTAATTCACACTACAGTCATCATCAGATTTTAATTTCAGATTCATGAATATCTTAATATTTTTCATTCTCTGAAATACTGCTATACTGCTAGAGCTATTCCATATTTAATTTCTTTAATAAATCTTCCACCTGCTGTATCTAGTGTTAGTTCACACTACAGATTTTATTTCAGATTTACAATTACCACAATGACACTGACAATATTAGATATATGGCACAGGATATTTTTAATCCTTTGAAATGCTACTTTTGCTGGAGCTATTCTAAATATATCTTATATCTCCTGTTTTCAGGGCACCCAATTACTGTTACACATTGATTTAGTTTAAATAAACACCCTTCACTTCGCTGAAGATTTCTCATTATTTCCGACCCCTTTAACTCTTTAAGTCCCGAGGAATGCATCATACATTCATAGGTTCCTTCATAGAAGCCCAGTGAACGCATGATGCGCCGATTTTATGTCTCTCTTTACTAGCCCTTGGGCCTGTGATGCTAAACCCCCCCCGAGACTCAAAGAAATAATTATCATTATTTCCATATTCTTGTGATCTTCACCAAGTTTTTAAATAACAATCAGAGAACTTTCTGTTCATTCATCTTTTTTATATACATTAAGATTTTTTTATTTAAAAAAAAAACCCGTAGAACTTCCTATGTTAAAAAATGCCTCTTAATTACAATTTACTCTTATTTTCTGATAATGCAAAAGTGGAGTTAGCTAATAGGGCGCTATGTTAGTTAGGCCTGTGCCCACTTCTTAACCCATGGAAAACAAAGTTTGTTTATACTAGGGATACACATGACTACTGATGTTGAAAGCCTGCCACATTATTCACAACATTATTGTAAGAATTACCTGGTAACAAATCACTCCACTGATTTTCTAAAGCATCTGTAGGTCACAAGGGTTAAAATTAAAGGACCCATAGGGCAGCCACAAAAATCAGAATATATTAAAAAGCCATTGCAAATTATGAAGTATACAATATCAAACTTAACATCCAACACAGTTTTATCAAATATTTCTGAGTTGCAACCCACGTTGTTCATAGATTTCTGTGGCTATGCATTTATTTATGGTGATCACACATGTGTCAGACATTCAACTGGTCAACTGAATTCTTCTTGGAGACACTTCAGGTAAGTGATTTTGTGTATTCTTGTTTGTGCTGCTTGCATAGCACATTCAGGTAATGTAATGATAAAGGCCCTTTAACCACAATGTTCACTTGTCAATTGTGTTTGTGATAATGTAAAGCTGACTGGATCCTCATTTTCCTTTCTTGTTTAAAGGACCCATCTCCTTGCCAAAAGACCTATGGGTAATGTGTTAATGGCTCCATATTTTTAAAGCCCATCTGGCACTTGATGGGTCTTGTGGCAACATCTCACCAGCCAAATTTGCTTCCCAGAATATTTCATGTTGCACATTTTAGGTTATGCTGATACATAAAACTGGAGTTCCAATGCAGATTTGAACCCAAGATGTTTGGGCTGCCGTTCTCCTTCATTTAAGACAGGTCTGTGTGCCCAGTTAGTGACCCTTCAGAAACAAAGTTTGTTTGTTCATACACGAGGTTGCAGTTATGTGGTAGCCAGAAGAAATAAAGAATGACAATATTAATATATCAAATAAACAGAATGGGGTCAATGTCATCAAATAAAGGGAAAATAATTAAGCTATAACTAACAAATAGGTTAAACAAAGAGATATAACTCTAAAACCTTGTCTGGTAACTAGGTAAATATCATCAAACAAGGGGAAAGAATCAAACTAACTTTCAAAGGAGAAAGAATCATTGAACTAATTGTCATATGTCTAAACAAAATGCATTTCTGTAATAAGTTTGAATTATACTCTGATAGAATAGTTATAACATATAACATTTATTAAAATTACACTATTGTTCTACAGTCATTTTATAATAATCACCCTCCCCTTGTGGGACACATTTTTTGTTATTTTGGAGCCCCACCCTGGTTGTTGCTGGGTGCTCTAATATAATTTTACGGTTGAACAGGGTTTCTAGGACCTCTCCATGGATGATCCTCATCCGAATAGTGGCACTCTGTGTCACAGGGTGTTTATCAGTCAGTGTGATGTCTTGGAGGGGTAAAAAGTCAGTTGGTCAGTTCTACAGTAAATAGGCCGCATCATGCATAAATGTCAACTCCAGTGTATAAAGAAATAGAATGTTAAAGTTTGAGTGACAATAAATCAGTAAGGAGAAAGTAAGAAAATGTGCCAGGTAATATAACAAACTTCTGATCAGAAAATAACAATCAACTAGGTGCATGCCAGGAATAAAAAAAATGCGTTTAAAATAAAATAAAAAGGAAAAACAGGTTTGACAGTAAAAGTAAAATACAATAAAAAATAAAATCTGGACAAATGACAAAAGAAAAATATCAAGGGAAATGAAAAATGAAAAATAAATATTTTTAGATAATTAACCTTTAAAAGTATTGAATAATTTGCTACTCACCACCAACTGGGATGATTTTAGGGGAAAAAAAAAAGAAAAAAAAAGAAACACATAATTAATATGCGAACATATAAGGCAAGCAGTTGAAAGTTATAATTTCACCCATTTTTCTATCTTAACACAGTGAGCTTTAGCCTAAAGCTATAATGAAAAGTTATTTAAAATTTAGACAGTAAAACTTGTTTAACTCTTTGAGTCTCAGAAACTTTCTTAGCAGAGAGGAAATACCCACTTTGAAAATCACAAATACCATAAGATGCCACTTGAAAAGCCAGATTTCAGAAGTATGCTTTATGATAAAAGTATGAAAACACTGAAAAGCCAGATTTAAGAAGTATGCTTTATGATAAAAGTATAAGAACACTGAAAAGCCAGATTTCAGAAGTATGCTTTATGATAAAAGTATGAGAACACATTTCTTGGGAAAGACCTCCTCACATCGTGAATTATTTGGAACTTCTTTTTTCTTCTTTGCATTCACCAGCGACAACCTCCAGTGGAAAGTCCTGGTAGTGCGTCCCCCTCCCCCCCACCCCCCTGTCTTATTCCATGATTTTCAAGTGTTGCATGCACATTCATTTTTCAGATCTGGTTTATTTGTGTGCGCACTGTTGGTTCCTTGCCTCTCAGGGAGCACTGCTTGTTTGATTTAAATCCACACTTTGAAGAGGATTCAAACGTATTATAAGTTATAATAAAGTCATCTGTATGGCTATATATATGGGGAGTCTGTGACAGACCTCTGAAAACAGGAGTCCGCAGGGATCAGCAAACTGGGAGCCACTGTAATAGGGAATAAGTGGATGTTTTTAGAGATATTAGAACAGACTAGGCAAGAAAACAGAAAAGAAAGTAACCTTTCAGCATACAGAACATGTGCAGATGATGGCTCTCTTCCCCTGAAAAATTAAATATTTTCTAATGAATTCCAGTACTGTAACTTCAGTTCTTTTTTTTTTTCACCTTTGTGTTTACCAAGAATAATAAATGAAAAGCTAGTACAGCTATATTAGGCCTTTATTGCTTGTATTCACCTGGCATATGGCAAAATGAACATATTTATGCATTTGTAACAGTGTTAAAGAAGCAGGCACATTAGCTTGGTTTGGTATACAGTTTGAGCAGTTTAAAAAACAATGGGTATATAGCAACATGAACATTTCCACACAACAACTATAATGAGTAACATTTTTAAAACATATAAAACAGATAAGCGCTGAAGATATCACAACAATATCACAACAAGCTGCATACGTATGTATGTAAGCTGTAGTATGTCCATGAACATAACACATATAATGTTCACATATAAATGAAATCACAGATTCAACTCATTCAGTACCAAGAGAATAGCAGATGGCGCTGCACTGTTAAAAATGCTGGGCTGTTTTGACTGAGGCTGTGGATTTTTTCCATAGGGGGGCAAATAAAATTTCTGACATGCACATTTCATGGTGATAGCATAAGCCATGCTTCCCTAAATCCTCAAGCTCACACTAGCCGGGCGAGGCAAATGCAGGTGCCCTAATTATAATTGTTTCTAGGTTGAATAGGGTATCTGGGATCTACCCTGCTGGTCTGCCATCCAGACTGAAATTGTATACTCTAAGGGTTTCAAACTTTCAGACAGCGACTGGGAGAGAGGAAAAAGTCAGTCAGTATGGGTTCCATGGCTCCATTAGAGGGTGGGTTAGGCCGGGGGGTGGGGGGGATAAACCCACAGCTCCCCTGATAAACATAATTTTTTATTTTAATAATAGTTTTTTTTTCTCCCACTATAAATACATCTCATATTAATCTATTTTTTCCTAATCTACGTTTAGTTTTTTTTCCCTCACTATAAATACATCTATTAATTTTTGTCTTCCCAATCTACATTTACTTTAGGTTTTCTTCCCATTCTAAATCAACCTAAGGTTTTTGCTTGTTTGTTCTTTCTACATTTTCATTCACTGTTGGTAATTTGATACTTACTATTCTGAGAGAAATCCTCTTTTGTAGACGTTACTGATGCTTAAAAAACAATAATATATCATCTAATCTTACGTTTTATGAAGGAGAAAAAATATAATTTCATAAAATGAATAAAGAACAGAAGGGAAAAAAATGAACGCACAAGTGGTTGAAAACAACATCCATGCATAGAAAGAACAAAATAATTGATGTGCTAAAAAATATGTGCAAACTTTTTGAACTAGAAAAATACAGGAACCAATAATATAAAACTGTAATAAAAAATATAAACACAGGGAACCAGTACAGTAAAATAGTAATAAAAAAAATAAAAAATACACTTAAAAACACACTCATAGGGCAGTAGTATATATACATATATATATATATACATATATATATACACACACATATACATATTCTGTAAAAAAAAAAACATGCGTAGTTGTCTCATGGCTCTTTGCTCCTAAAAAAAAATGCATAGCTACTAAAAGGAACATAATTTTGACATTCAAAACTTTGTAATAAAATCAGCATAACTGTTACAATTGCACACAAGAATACTTTAGGGTTTAATCAATCAGTTGACAGTTCTTATGCATCTTGGTCATCGCTACTTTTTAGTTATACAGGTTTTCCGGTCAACTAATGAAAATGCACCATCGGATAGCCATGCATTTTTTTTAAACAGTAAATATGATTGATGGGTGGTTCACATGTAACAATGAACTACTGGAAAACACAACACTAATAAAAACACAAAAAACTAATCTTATTTGCAAAAAAACCAAACAAAAAATATTCTAAAAAGTAGACTGACATTAAACAAGGAACAATACTATATTAGGAGAAAAACAGTGACAGTAGATTTGAGATGGAAAATCAACAACATATCAAATGCATCAGTTCATAGGTAAAAGGTAGCCTCCTTGTAGTAGATAAGGCTATTAAAGTGTGAGGTGTCAGGCTTTCACATACTCTAAGCCATATCATAAGTGGTGGGTTGGCTAGTTTACGTACCAATCATCCTTCCTACCTTTACAATTCTGGAAATTTCTACACTACCAATATGGATGACATTAGGGCAGGCCACCTTTCCTTCCCAGATTATTTCCGAGAAGTCTGTACAATGATTAATTTATTTCGCTCTTACCAATGAGTGGATGAAAGTTGAATTAAGAATCAACGTCACAGCACTGGGGAATTCCCATAAGCGTTCTGTTCCTTTCTTCAGCAGCAAGTACACAGTTCAAATTCCGATGTCACCAGTAACAGTCTCAATGTATCTCCGTCCCACCTTTCCCTTGAGTTTTGAGTGCCAGCCAGATTCCCCGGTTACTCCTCGCAGCATCAGTCTCCATAGACTATGATCTATTTGTGTCTCGGCACAGTTCACTGGCTCCCAAACAACCTTTACAACATCCAGCTTGTCGTGCATCAGTTCACCTTGGTTATTTCCCAACACATCAGCATGACTTGGAGAAAATATCCAAAGGACGCTAACTATCCAGGACCTCTCTGGAGTTATGCTTGCCACTCTGCATGCAGCATACCATCTACACCTTTCTCATGCTCTATCAGTCAGTCACAGTCACCAACGAGTGAAAAGAGGGGAGGTTGTGTATCTGAGAGCAAAGAGAGAAGAGAAACCAAATCACCTACAATAGCATTTTAACATTAACATCATGAATCATAATCGGCTGCATAATAACTTCAATGCATGGAAGCTGCAAGCCAAACAGATAAGGTTCACACAAAAATAAATGGATACAAGTTTAGAGAAAAAAAAAAACATAAACTTTAGAGGTGGCCAAACTATGGCCTGCAGGCCAATTTTGGCCCGTGAGACTGATGCAAAAGTATAACAGAATCTGCCCCCCCCCCTTCCTTTTCAATAATACGATTTCTGCAAATAACCAACTTGAACAGAAATATTTAAGAATGTATAGAATATCTTTAGTGGGTGAGTTTATCTGGCCAGAGGTATCGCGAGGAATTATAATCTTGGATTATCCCACGAAAATATTGTCATTAGGAAATCTGTGTGTTATGTTTATAATTGTTTTTTTCTATATGGCCTACGAACAGGCTGGTAATTCTAAATTTGGCCTGCAGACCAAAAAAGGTTGCCCACCCCTGATATACACAGAAACACACAAAAAACAAAAACAAAACTATCAAAATAATGGGCGCACAAGCTCACAAGAAATATCTGAAAAAGACAACAACAAAGACACACCTCTGTGAAGCACCCGAGGTTGACACTCTTCAAGGTTTGACAGAGGAAGAAAAGAAAAAAAAAATGTGTCAATATGAATCAGATCACATGTCAGTTATGTAAGACTATGAATTTAATGATTCATTTGATGTTATGTAGGGAGTCGCCGTGGCGGAGCGGCCAGACGCTCGCCGCGGATCGTGAGTTCGCTTCCTGGCGGAGCCAGACTTTTTTCAAAAATGACTTTGGCTACCAAGTCGACCCAGCCTTGAGTGGGTACTGGCTGCAGTTCCAGGAAGTAGAGGGAGCCAGCCTGATGCTGACCACATCAACCATCTTATGCCGATTGGTCTATAAAATATAGGTCTAGCCCTATATGCCATATACACCTAAAGGTGTAGAAAAGGGTCCTTTACTTTTACTTTACTATGACGTTATGTATGTAAGCAAAACAATAATTAGTCAGATCTTCAGATCGTAAAAGTAAAAAACTATCACTTTTTAGGCTGAAACATTTTAAAACAAAGTTACTCAGATCTAGAATTTTACTACTCTTAGTATAGAAACAAACACACAAGAAACAAATGGGGGTGCATGGGCACAGGAACCCGGGAGCTCAGATCCCTTGAGGGCTCCCCCAAAAATATTGGGGAGAGGTTTCAGGCCCCTTCCTCTCATATTCTCTTTGTGGTTATACTCCTGTGTTGATGCGGAGGGAAAAGGGTGGGTGGGAGTGAGTGAGCTGTCATCTTTTTTTTAGACAGAAATAACAAATACAGGTGTTCGGTAATTAAAGTTTTTTTTTAAAAAGACAATAACCAACAAAGACAATGGA